GGAGTGCCTTCAATGCCCTCCTTCTTCGTGTATACCCACTTGCAACCAATTGCTTTCCGCCCCTTTGGAAGCTCAACAAGCTCCCATGTATCGTTCTTATGAAGAGATTCCATCTCCTCCTGCATAGCCACCTGCCACGAATCAGCCTCCGAACTCTGCTCGGCCTCTCTGAATGTAGTAGGCACTAACTCATCGATACTCTCCACCGGAAGTGCATACGCAACTGTGTCGGCATACCGTGCTGGCATCTGTATGTTTCTCCTCTGTCTCCTAGCCGCAATAGAATCCTGAACCTGAGCCGTCGGTTCCTGATCCTGCACATTTGTACTCGTATCCTCCGTGTCATCGTCGTGCTCGCCTGGCGTCACCTCAGTCGGCACCTGCATGGATACTGTACCATCTGGACAATGTGGAGCTGCATCGATCTCCACCACCTGCGATATCTCCTCCGTCGGGTCGCTCTCCACCTGATGAGAGCTGGGAAGCTTCAAGATAGAAGCCTCATCAAATGTGACGTCCCTACTCAGAACAATCTTTTTATCAACTGGATCCCAAAGCTTGTATCCCTTGACACCACGCTTGAATCCTACAAATATGGCCTTCCTAGCTCGAGGTTCCAATTTATCAGTTCTAACATGATAATATGCAGGGCACCCGAATACCTTGAGCTGGTCATAGTCATGTGCTGGCTTTCCCGACCACATCTCCATAGGGGTTTTCCCCTCAATCGCAGATGAAGGCAGCCTATTAATGAGGTGGCTCGCATATGTAAGTGCCTCAGCCCAAAAGATCTTCTCCAAACCACTCTGCGACAATAAGCATCGGATCTTCTCCAGTAAAGACCGATTCAACCTCTCTGCCACCCCATTTTGCTGCGGTGTATGACTAACTGTGAAGTGTCTCTCTATGCCCTCGTCTCGACATAGCTGCTGAAAGGGGTCAGAAGTATACTCACCACCGTTGTCGGATCGCAACGTCTTGATCTTTCTCCCAGTCTGCAGTTCCAATCTCTTCTTCCACTCCACAAACAAATCTAGGACTTCACTCTTCTTCGTCATGGTGTACACCCAACAACGCCTAGAATAGTCATCTACAAAAGTGACGAACCAATGTCGACCACCAAGTGATGCAGTCTTGGTGGGACCCCAAACGTCTGTGTGCACGTAATCCAGGATGCCCCTCGTCTGATGAATGGCAGTCCCGAACTTCACCTTCGTCTTCTTGCCAAGAACACAGTGCTCACAGAACTCAATCTTCCCACTCTTGGCTCCCTTCAATAGCCCCTGCTTGCACAATGTCTGCAGTGACTTTTCACCTGTGTGCCCCAATCTATAGTGCCAAAGTCTGCTCATGTCCGCTTCTGAAATAGCCGAAGCAACCTGGCCAATCTCGGTGCTTCCCTTCAGATAATACAAATTCCGATTGCGGACTCCCCTCATCACCACCAATGATCCCTTAGTAACCTTCGCTACAGCGTTTTCGAAAGTCACCTTGAATCCCTTCGCCTCCAAAGCTCCAACTGAGATAAGATTTTTCTTCAGTTGAGGAACAAATCTCACCTCCTTCAACTCACGGACTACTCCATCGTGCATCCTAATCCGCACGGTACCTATCCCACAAACGCCACAGGATTGATCATTTCCCATGACAACAACGCCCCCGTCGACTTTCTCAAAAGATGCAAACCAGTCTCGCCTAGGGGTCACATGAAAGGTAGCGCCGGAATCAAGCATCCAATCTGATGCATCCACATGGTTCACCTCCGGAGTAATCAGTAGAGAAAAGCACGAATCATCGGAATCATCGCCTTTCGCAATGTTCACCTCATTGGCCTTCGGGCCCTTTTTCTTGCCATTCTCTTTCTCCTTGAGCTTCGGGCAGTCTCTCTTCCAATGTCCCTGCTCCTTGCAGAATGCACATTGGTTCTTTGTTAGTTGGTGACGGCCTCTAGACTTTGACCTCCCTCTGTTACCACCTTTCGGATATGGGCTTCTACCTCTTGTCGACAAGGCCTCTCCTGAAGTACTAGCGCGGGAAGTCTCCTTATCCTTCCTCCTCAAATCGTAGTTCGTCAAAGCGTTAGTCACTTCACTATAGCTGATAGAAGATCTCCCGTTCAACAAAGTGAGCACGAAGGTATCATACTCCTCATCCGGTAAGGAGCCCAACAAAATAATCGCCTTGTACTCATCCGATATCTTCTCATCAACATTCGCCAAGTCCGACAACAACTTCGTATAGTTGTTCACATGAGCCGCAAGCGAGGTGCCTCTGGACATCTGGAATCTGAATAACCTACGCAGCAAGTGCAATCGGTTCTCAACACTCTTCGTAAGGTACTTATTGTTGAGAATTTCCCACATCTTCATCGCAGACGTCACCCCAATCACATCATACTTCAGCTCCTGTTCCAAACAGGACCTGATCACCCCACAAGCGTTCCTATTCATTTTCTCCCATACCGCCTCTTCATATTTAGGTGGCCTCTCGTGGACCATGATGGTCTCTTCCAAATTCTGAGCATTTAACGCATCCTGTACGTCGCTCATCCACAAACCAAAGTTGATTTTTCCGTCATATTTCACCACACTAATTTTGGTGTTTTGAAAACCAACTTGTATTGTACCCGCCATCGATTTGCTGCTTTCACCTTCTTCTCCCATTGCGAACTAACTCCAAATTGTAGAGAAGAACAAATTTGATAGAATTAGGAACCACCCAACTGAACCCTAGATCGGATTCCAAATAGATCTCCTATCCACACGAGGAAAGCGAAATCTCCAACGGCAACTCCTAATGCTATCTCCACCGAAGCCGAGAACTCCAAGAACTAAGCTTCACACAAGAATCTTCCTCCACCAAAAAACCCTAGATCTGAAATCTGGGCTCTGATACCACTTGTTGCGCGCAGCGGAAATTTCGGCAGCACTTAGGCAGCACAACAAGAGAGTCAGGTCGCAATAAGAATTCTTGTTTCTCAAAGGAAACAAGAATCTGAAGCCTATATCCTATCAAAGTAGGATATTAGCTCTTCCTCTCGTCAGCTCTAGGACTGCGCGTCGAGGGACCCTAAAAGCTATTACAAATCACACAAAAGCAGTACAACCAATTTTAACGTGGTTCGGCAAATTGCCTACGTCCACGGGGCAAGGAGGGGGAGATCTACTAATAGAGGGAGAGAATACAACTAGGGTTTACAATCACTCTCAATCTAAACCCTCAAACAATCTCTCTCAAGAGAGAGAGAGAGAGAGAGAGAGAGAGAGAGAGAGAGAGAGAGAAGAAGAAGAAGAAGAAGAAGAAAAGAAGAAGAAGAAAAGAAGTAGAAGTAGTTATGACTACCTTCTTACTAGGAATATTTTCATGCTAGCTTAGGTTTGCTGTGGAGATTCTTGGTTGGTGAAGTATTTGATCTAGTCGTTAATTTCTATAGGATCTGAATATCATGAGCATGCAGAAGATGGATTCATCACGTATTTTTTGGTGAGAAAATTATTATATCAACCTTTAATTTTTCATACATAATTAGCATTTAGCACAAATTAAGAAAAAAGAAATGTATTAGAACCGTAAGATTTGAACAAAATAATACATGCTGTGTACATAACAATAGCATTTGTGCGCGTTATGTAAACAGGAACCATATACTTAAAATCATTTATAAATATCAAGTTTTGTACTATACTCTAAAAGGTATTGTATAACTTAACATCTCCAACATTATAACACTGCTTTTTCCCCTGAAACAAAAACTACTTGACACTTTCCACAAAGCTACTTTCTAATTATTAGAGAAAACCAACACAGTTTCAAATCACCAGAAAAATATCACACGCTATTAGAAATTTTTTTAAGGAAAACTTGGCCTTAGTGAACCGTATTATTATAAAATTATAAAGCATAATCTAGAAAATTAATGTTTACCTTAATGTAACACTTGATACATCATTAGAAAACTATGTGGTAATTTTATGATAATATATGAAAATCTATGGTAGTGATCCGAAAATAATGTAAAGTTCATGGCAGTCCCTTAGAGCCGTGATACTTTTGAAAAACGTAGATAAAAATTCATGGTTTTTAATTCATGTGTAGCTTTCTTAAAGTTTGTTTTATTATCTGTTGATTTGAATGCTTATAAAATATGTTGGAAAATTTATCAAATCAAAGGTTATAGCGTGTAAAATAAATCCGAAATAAAATAATAACAAAGTCTGGCCTGATCGGGAGCAGTCGCGTAAACACTGCCCTAGAAGATTGATGATCCGCCTATCGTCCTGACGCAGATGATCCTCTCTCTCCTAACGGTAAAAACCTTCGAAAGTGGTCGGCCTCTGTACTCGAGCGAGAGAACAGAGCTTCAGCTCAGACGAAGAACGGTTGCTCAAAAATAACACCAACATATGAATGAAAATAATATGTAGAAAAGAGAAGAGGAAGAAGAGAGAATTGTTTTTTTTGAAAGTGAATAAGGGTGTATATATAGGGTTAAGAAAGCCATTATAATTCTTACAATTAATACGATAACATTCGTTATAAATTTTTGTAATGTTCCCCATAATGTATAGCGTTACGCACGTTTTAATTGTATTCATAACACTATTCCATATGAGACTATTCATGAAGGTAAAATTACATTTTCTCCAACAAAATATCCAACAAATTTTTTATCTAATAAATAGCTTATGATATTTTTGGGTAAAACCCCTAATAGTCCACAACAGTTTTGTGAAAATCTTTCCACTAAACTATATACATGAGTAAAAGGAGATGGTGGATCCTCCACAGTGTTGTTTAATGTATCATTGAAAAGGGATGCACACATCCAATTCATCAGCGATAATTTTAATTATTAATTAGTGCTTTGTATATGTGTCACATCAGCTACGCACCGGTTATCGTCACGAGGAACACACCAACCCTATTAATTAATTACTTTTGTGTACATGTGTGCATGTATATGTGCAAAAACTCATAATTTGTTGTTGCATTGCACACAGATGCACATGTGGGGTCACGGCTCAGAGTATCGCAAAGGCCCAGACTCTCTCAAGGGCACACAACCCATGGCAATCCTCAAGCTCCCATGCTACTGCTGCGCCCTCGGCTGCAAGAACAACATCGGCCATCCCCGAGCGAAACCCTTGAAGGACTTCCGAACCCTGCAGACCCACTACAAGCGCAAGCACGGCGTCAAGCCCTTCAAGTGCAGGAAATGCAGCAAGCCCTTCGCCGTCCGAGGAGATTGGAGGACTCACGAGAAGAACTGCGGGAAACTTTGGTTTTGCTCATGTGGGTCTGAGTTCAAGCATAAGAGGTCTCTTAATGATCATGTTAGGTCTTTTGGGAAAGATCACTCTCCTTGTTTAATGCATTGAAGTTTACGGGTATGTGTACTAGCTAAACATTGGACTTGCGCTCAGTAACAAAAAGCTCTTGATCGTCGTGGAGTAGTTTGTTGTGAGCACAAGCTCTAAATTTATGTATGTTCAAATAAGGGAGGGTATGGAAAAGACCTTGGGAGTAGTTTTACGGTTATGGAGTTTATTGAATTAGCAAGTTGAGTTAATCTTTGTGTTGACAAAATATTCCATCAACATAACTAGAGTATTAATTTGGAATATTGCAATCTTAGTAGAATGTTGAGTAAATATTACTTTATTGCATGTATAGTCATATATACATGCACGTTTATACTCGAGGTAATTAAGTTCAAAAAGGGAATTGAAAAGGAATGTGGAAATACCTTTTTTAAGGGGAAAAACAGGTCTTAATGGATTCGGATCCTCTCCACTATCTAAAAGGTAGTGGAGAGACCACTACATAATCACAACCATTGATTATCTAGTTGGTGGTTGTGATTTTTTCTTTCATAATCACAACCATTGATTATCTAGTTGGTGGTTGTGATTTTTTCTTTGAGTGCAAATTAGGAATGAGTGCAATACACGGTGATTATCTAGTTGGTGGTTGTGATTTTTTCTTTGAGTGCAAATTAGGAATGAGTGCAATACACGGGGGGTATGGTAAGTGTTAGATTTAGATTGTATCATAACCGCGTACTAAGTAATCAACGATTGGAATTAAAAGTAGTGATCTCTCCACTACTTTTTTTGTAGTGTAGAGGATCCAAATCCGGTCTTAATTAGTCAATATTAATTATTGCAAATGCCAAAGAGCAGAACACAGAATATCACACGTGGTAGTGGCTTGAACCGAGTAGGCCATACAAGAAACAAAGTATGTAAAGCACAAAATATATTACGCTTATATCTCAAAATGCATTAATCAAAATTCTACAAGTTTAGCTGAATTGTAGATGATTTCTATTGAACGGATGATTTGTTGTGCAAATTTTTTTACTTTCATATAATTAAATCGTAGACTAGTAATTTGGACTAGTAGAATGTCAAATACTTCATTGTGAGACGTGTATAATCGTGCACGTATATATTATGTATAATATGGGGGTGGAAGTTACATTTATAGAGACGTCATGCGTGAGTATGACTTGATTATTGCCTAGATTAAGTGCACAAGGCATAAAGGAGACTAATAAGCATCTAAAAAGAACACATTTGTCCAAAGCTCCTTTATTGGCACTCAACTTTCTCCTAGTCCAAATTTGAGGCCTTCACTGATCCACTACTACCCGTTCCGTGTACACACACGTGCGACAGTATGATAATTTAGCGAGAGAAGGGGCGAGGGTAATCCAGTTTCATGTTCAAATTCAGTTGTAAAATTGTTGATGTTTCCCCCTCCAACACCTACTTTTCGGTGAATTGAATAGACCAAGTAGCCTAGGACTATGTAGTCTTTCTGATTTGTCAGTCAAAATTGGCAAATAATTTCTTGAAATAACATACTTTGAAAGTCCACCAAACACCTTACATAGAAATACAAGCGATTAGGATAATGTTGATGGTTTATATGATCACACAGTCAATTGTATCCTGGATTGGATGAAGTGTTGAGGATTGATGATTGGCCACTTTCTTCCCTGACTTTATGTCTAGTTCTTGAATTGGGTAGTCAAAAGATCTGCACATGTAGAAACACGTAAGCGGGTGGGGATTGGTTCCCCCGTGGTTCCTCCGACGGTCAAATTAGCTGATGAACTTGAGTGGGGAAAAGAAGAACCGAGTGAGTTCTTGTTATGAAGTATGATTTTGCAGAATTAAAGAATTTGGATCCGAAATCAGAATTCGGTCTCTTGTGGGTTGAAATAGTACATGTATTTATACCTAAGGTATAAGAGTAGATTGGTCACTTCGGCCGAGCACAGGAGGGCGGTGGCGAAGTGTGGGCTGACAGCTGAGTTAGCCTCTGCTTTACAGGTGCCGGCTGGTGACTGGAGGAAAGATCACTTCAGTATTTAAATGGGAAATGACTGTTGGCGTGGCAGAGCCCACATGGTCCGATGAGTCATGAAGGCTATCGAGGCCAGAGGCATGATGTGCCTGAAATATGTATTAAATGCGATCCTAACATGTTGTCAGTGAGGATAAGCTCAAGGCAGAAGATGTCCTTTGCCTTCGGTGAGAAGTAACGTCTTTCGAGTCAGCTTCGCAACGTTTGGAAAACGATCGAGTGGACTCATGGTGAGTCGTCTTCGACAAAAGGGAGGCGACAAGTTCCGCCTTTCGAGTTGACATGAAGGAATGTCGAGTCGTCGAGTCTGCGGAGTGGTCATCCCTACTGGTCTCCGACCGCCAAGTTGATTGGGGCATAGCATGTAGCACACTTATCCGTTGCTTGGCAATGAGCTTGTACTTTAGCGAATAGGAACATCATAACAGTTAGCCCCTTTCGCTTGGAGTCGACTTGAGTCGGGTCCGAGTGAAATTAAATTAGCTTTGGACGGATACGAAAGCGTACTGAATGAGAAACTAAAAAGTCTCTTCAGATTTGACATAACTGACGTTACTATACATTCCTTTTAATTGTTGCAACTCTGTTTTTCCTAGCAGATTACAGACTGTTCGAAGTGAGTGGGTCACGCCTCGATCTCAGAGAGGGCGCTTCGAGTTTTGAGAATTAATCCTGGCCGTTGGATGAAGTTTGATCTAACTGATCAAATTTCAGAAGTTGTAAGGTCAGTTGTCTATATATAGAAGTAGGGTCACTGTTTGGTGAAAAATTTGTAGTAAAAAGAATGAAAGAAAATTGACTTGTATTCTCTCGATTTTATTTACAATTTGGATTTACGATTACAAAAGAGAGGAGAATGATCTGGATTCTCCCCTTTGTTTAATTCTGGGTTCTTCACGGTAGCGATGAGATGCCTCCCTCGAATGCTCGCATCGAGTTTGCTTCTTGTTGATGATCCAAATTTCTTGTTTCACTGGAACGGTATATTCTCATCACGATTTGACGCTGTGGAGGACTTGCGTGGAAAGTTTGAAACTCTGAATGAATTGATAACTCAGAGCGAGTTTAAACTCTTATAAAAGAGTTGATTGATCTTAATCGTAATTGGTTAGACAAGTCAAGCTTGAAGATAGGCCCAAGAATCTGTTGCCGAGAAGATGATCCGAAGAAGCCGATCTCTAGATCTCCAAAATTCTTAAAGATCCAAAGATATCTCCCCTCCTCCTCCTTCTCTTTAACTAAGCTGATCTTTCAGCTATTTATAGGCGATTGGGGGTGTAACTGACCCCCCCTAAAATCGCTCCTTTGTGGGGCTAATGGGATGTAACCGCCCCTTAAATCACTCCTGAGTGGAGTTGTGATCCCCTCAGATCGTGAGAAACGGTTTTAAAACTGTTAAGCTCATGTTTGAACGAGTCAAACACAAAATCCGTGTTTTGACGTGAATTCTGCGTCCAAACGCAGTGTCTGGAAGCTCGTTTGCAGCGTCTTGAAGCTGCGTTTGTAGCATTTAGAAGCTGCGTTTGCAGCAATTTGGAAGCTGCGTTTGGCAGCTTTCGAAGGCTGCGTTTGCAGCCGAACATGAGCTGCGTCCGTAGGCTTGAGCTACGTCAGCGATGGTTGATAAGGAGCTGCGTCCGCGGTTGAATTGGCACCGCGTCTTGATGCTGAAGCGCGGGGAGAACTTCCGCGTCTTGGTTTGAGGAGACCGTTAATTTGTAGTCTCTTTTTGTTAGAGCGTTGCAAAGATCGTTGTTTTGTAATCTTTGCTTCAGCTCTTTGATATGTGAGAGTCGTCGTGTTATAACTCTCGCTGTTGATTGTGAAGACTATTGATTAGAACTTTCATCGGTTATTATAAAGGTTGTCATATTGTAACCTTTATCAATCTACGTGAAAGTCTTCAAATTATAGTCTTCTGGAAGCCGTCAAATTATAACTTCTATCATTGGTGTTTGATGGGGATCAGCTATCTGTAGTAACTTTTAGACAGTCTACAGAACCCCCTCCAAAGTTTTTAAAAGTTCGCGGTTGATTGGGACGAATTTTCAAAATACTTTAGATCTCCACTCTGATCTTGGAGCTGTTAATTCATTGTCATAAAGGAGTTGTTCTCTACACCCGTTTCAAAGGCATCTTGGTTGAAAAGATTTGCCACATAGGACCTGAGCTTCGAAGAGAAACTGTTGTGACAGTACAAGCTAATCACATCCATTCAGTTGATGGGCCCACAAACATTCATAGGATTTTTAGCAAACCCTCAGCCATCAACAGATTTGATAAGCCTTTACCGACTACCATTTGAGTCGGGCTAGCATATGAATTATTTGAATCCGTTTCACATGTAACGTTGTGCTAAGAGAATGAACTTTTGAGTCGGGCTAGCATATGAATTATTTGAATCCGTTTCACATGTAACGTTGTGCTAAGAGAATGAACTCTCTTAGACTTGATGCTATGATTTTGAATACATAGACTTTGTCATTTTTATGGGAAAAGACTAACCGACAACGCGTATTAGGCGTAGACTTATCTCTAATTAGAGATCGAGATAAAGTCCCCCATGCGTGTAATGCATGAATTTTGGCGTTATTAATAACGACCTGCCACGATGTTGAATACGTGGGCTTTTGTCCTTTTTACAGAAAAGACTAACTGGCAGTATGTGTTAGATACAAACTTATCTCAATTTAGGAATCGAGATAAAGTCCCCCAAACGTGGATTCTGGTGTTTTTTTCACAGAGAAAGACTAACCGGTAACGCGTGTTAGGTGTAGATTTATCTCTAATTAGGGATCGAGATAAAGTCCCCCAGACGTGGATTCTGGTATCTTTTTCACGGCAAAAGACTAACCGGCAACGTGTGTTAGGCGTAGGCTTTATCGCTGTTTCTTCATGTGTTATGTTTTCACTTGAAAAACTAAAAGAAAGTTGGAAGTGCCAGAGGTGTGATGTTAACTTGACGGGTTTGTGGACCTATCATTCTATTGAAGAGAGTCGATAAGTTAATTTTGTCAGAGGTGTGATATTAACATGACAAGAAGAATATTACGATCGGGGTAATTTTGAGGACCTACTGCTCTATTGAGGAGAGTCGATAAGTGGATTTTATCAGAGGTGTGATGTTAACGTGACAGGAATGTGTTGT